TTTTGATTTACAAAGGATCATTTCCAGGTGCAATGAATGTTTGTTAGATTCGTATCTTTTTGAATTGCTTTTTGGATTGTTATCTTCTTGCAGGTTTGTTTTTTATACTTGGTGATATGGTTTTTGGTTTTAAAGTCCTACCTACAGTGACACATAACCAACAATTGTGCCCTTAGGGTTGGTCTCTGTGCAAAAGTTAGTTGGTCTTCAGATAGACAAATGAGTTAATAATTGTAGATTCCTTTTTATGACACTAATGATAGAAATTGTGTCCACTAAATATTAATAAATAATAAATCACTCTACTTCTCATTGGGTCTTCAAATAGAGAATATATTTTAATAATTATAAATTCCTCTTTTCTGACACAAATGTTAGAAATTGTGTCCAGTAAATATTAATAAATAATAAATACTCTATAGCAAAAGAATATGTTGGCACAATTATGGATTTGTGCCTTTATTCTACTATAAAACGTCCACACACTCCCTTACTAATTTGTATATGGAAATTAAGAAGGTTGCTTCATACACATATGTTTCTTTTGAATTTGAGCAAGTTCTACATCATTGACAATGGCGGACAGGCGACGTCGTGGAGTTAGAATTGGAACTGAATCTTCAGCATCACATTCGTATATTACTTCCAACATTACAACAGAAAATTCCACAATGAATCCTCCAGTTCAACGTCCACGACAACCTGTTAATGCCAGGCGCATGCCTCGTCCTTTTAATAATCAGTACATTCTTACTACTTTTGTTGATGGTCGCCTTGGCTACGCATTACCCTTCAATAACGGATGCGTACGTGCACCTCAAGGACGTGTATTGCCAGCATGGGCAAACCCAGGTAGGACAGAACAATATCCTGTCAATTTGGTTTCTGCTGAAACAACAACTGAACAGTCTACCAATTCTGTCGTTATTATTGAAGAACCACGCACTTATCAAGCACAAATTCGTCCTAGAGGTCTGTCTGTCCCACAGTTGAGCTCACGAAATATGCAGAATGTTACCGTTGAGATTTTAAGTAGCGATGACGAGGACAATTAATATATTTTGTATTATGTTATATTTCACTGGTGTACTATGAAAATATAACTATCTTATGCTATGCTGGACTCCTCTTGGGTCCTTTTATCAACTTATGTCGTATTCCAATATAATAATGTTTTCTTTCTAATTAACCCTTGTAGATTTACTCCTAGTATATATTTTTTTAGGTTATAATTATGTTTCTCGTCCACTTCATACCGCAGAATTCAGTGAATTCACAGCGTGGCAACACAAAGGTTATGAGACATTATTACATTAGTCTAAAGAAGGCTTTTCAATTGCACTGTACAAATGAATAGTCTTTGGAGTCGAATTTCACTTTATTTACGAGGCTGCCACTGACTCTCTCTGCCGCTGATCTTCATGCCGCTGGATGGTGATCGTGGAAAAGCAGCGGCGCGATGGTCATTTTAGTCTGTAGGGTTTCGAACGGGTTGGGTGGGTTAGCGACTTTCATTTCCTTTCTTTGTGAGCTGCAGTGGGACTCGGTGAGAGCATGCTGTCGGGAGAGAGAGCGAACGAGCAGAGAGAGAAGAGAGACAGGGAGGGAGAGAGAGATTTGGTGAGAGCAAGGCATGCGGCTTGCAGGCAGATAGAGTCACTGGGGGTGTACGATTCGAGGGAGAGAAATGGGTTGGTTTCGAAAGCTCTACCTAGGGTTGTTCCTGCAAGATGTCAACATCGTTTTCCCTCTTCTCCACTATTTTCCTTCATTCCCTTTTCTCTGAACCAGAAAACTAGATTCCTCTTCCGGAGTCTCTCCCAGTGTGGAACCCCCACCACCACCAGGCGCCACAGCTGCGTTAAAGGTTTGCGTGTTGAATTTCACATCAACGGCATCTCCCTATAACCTAGGAGCTTGGTTCGGATCGGGCGATTCCAGAGGCCCTGCCATCGAGGTTAGTCTGAAGCGATTCCTATCTTGTTCACTTATTGCATGTCAAAATCTGCTTCAAATTTGTGATTTAATATAATTGGGCTTTAGAAAAAAAAATTCTTGATTTTGTCTAATCCAATTGAATGATTAGAAAAATTTTCATTAAATTTCTGGGTTCCCGAGGGGTTCTGAATCGTGATGTTGAGAGAGCTTGGTTGCTTAATTGCTAATGAAATTAGCATCTAAACGTTCATAATTTGCCTTTTTTATGTTCATTCTATATTTTCTGTGAGTTCAAATATATTTGTTTGTTTGTTTGGGTTTTTTGTGATATATTGCCGATGCCAAAATATCATATTTACAAGGACAAAGATAGAAAGGTTCTAAATCAATTTTTTATCCTGGTTTTGCTGCTGGGTTCACTATCAGTAAAAGGCACATGAAATATGGTATTGATTTCAGAGGCTTTGATTTCTCAGAATGTCTTCATATATCGAATGTCATCTTAATTTAGTTGTAGTTGATTTGTCAAAGTTTGTTGTTGTTTAGCTTTTTCAAATGGCAGTCTTAGTATTTGCCCAGTATTTTTTGTGAATTCCAAATTTTGCTTATAATTGTAGGTATGTAAAAGCTGCCAATTGGATTTGTTCCCCAGATGATAATGGCATACTAATATAATGGTTGTTCTTTTGCTTTGATGTACGAGTAAGAAGATTGTTTTGCCCCTTATGTATCCTGCTTCTTTCTGTTCCACGAAGTTGCTAGGAAAAAAAAAAGTACTTTGTGATCGTTTTCTTTCTTATGGTGATGTGTAGATGAAATCTGTCTTTTTTTCTTTGTATCAGCAACCTATTACCCCTTCATGAACATGTTCAGTTAAGAAACTTTTGATTTTTCTTCTGTTTAATTTCTCATCTGATAGGTTCAATATTAATAGAGTCCAATTAACATCCATATTGGAATGACAATCGAGAAATGCAATGACATACTTCTAATTCCATCCTCATTAAGTGTCTTAGTAACAATCAAGAATTGAATGACATACTTCTAATTCCATCCTCATTAATCAAGAATCGGATGGTGTAAGGTTATGCACTTGCTTTGGATATGACTGCCAGAGAAATTCAAGCTTCTGCTAAGGTAATTATCGATAATCAGATTGTTTTGATGCGATCAAACACGGTAGTGAAATGTTCAATTTTATGGCTACAAGTGTTTAATTAGAATGCTAATGATGCAGTTCATGATAATGATATGTTCTGATTTAAACAGTTACTGCAAATGTATTGTTGCTATGTGATGAATGAGTTATCTTTTGCATATAAGACTTTTCGTTTCTCGATACTAAGTCTAAAATAGAGATTTCAGAGCAAAACATTGATCCAGTATAAGCGAGTTGTGATTTTGTAGTTTATTTATGTTTCCAGATAAAATCTACAGAGATTAGAAAGAGAAAAAGGGCAAAGGAAAGCTATGGTGACTCTTGAAAGATGGTTCAAGTCTCTGTTGGAGGTACATTGGATTTATGTTTATTATGTGTTTAGTTCATTGTTTGGACTATAGATTTGGTTTGAACTCAATGTTGTCCGTGTATATAAATATATCTGTGTAAATATATTTTTGTGTGAATATATGTGTGCATATAGATTTATACATTGTTGGGACTAATAATGTTTGTGCTGTTGGTATTTTCGATTGGGATTAGGGGCTAATAAGGACTAGGGATGTTGGATAGTATCTTAATTTATATGGGAGTTGATTTTTTCTTCTCTGTGAATCAGGATTGACAATTTCATTTTGCATAGGCCATACCGATTAAAGATGCTATGGTGTTGTCAAAAGATAAACCTGACATGTAAAGTTGGATATTTCAAAGTTGCCTGTTTTCTGTTTAACCATTTTGTTTTTCCTACTTCTTCAGTTTCAATTCTTACTTTTGACTACTACTTTTAAGATGTTGTTTTGGCTAGACTTTTGGATGAGGCCACGGTCCTGCAAAGATATAATTTTCTCTTCTTTTACATAAGATATTGATTTTTTTTGTCATTCATCGCTTTGAAGATTGCATTTGATCTGCTTGAGCATAATATTCTGATCTCAAACCACTTTCACAAAGTTGATTTATTATCTACACGTGTGCTATTTTCATTTCAAATTGTGACTGCTATTTTGCTTTTCCCATTCTCATATTCTTAACAAGTGACCTATGAAATTTATTGCCTATATCTTTTCAAAGCACTTCAGGTATAAATTCACCTCACACTTCCTTGACGGGAGAATCAGACCATTGAGTGGGCTATACGACTAACAGTTGCTCTGAACATTGCCAAAGCATTAGATCACTGCAGCAGCGAATGCCGCCCATTGTACCATGACTTAAATGCATATATGTTTCTCTTTGATAAGGTGTTGTCTCAAATTTCCTTTCCCAAACGATAATTAATAAAATAGAGGACCAATTAAGTCTTTGAAAAACAAAATTCTTTGTCTACGTTGCTGAGTATTTGGAGCTTGCAGCTCTCATTGGTTATTATATTGGATTGAGTTAAACTTGGATTTCTGGATTTTGACTTTTCCATTTGTTTCTCTGTTGCAGAGTTGGCTTCATTTCAGTCCAGTATCTCTCTAAATAGGTCCAATAACTCACTAAATAGGTAAATCGAGAAGAATTCAGCGTTGCACGCCTTTTTTGGTATGCTGTTTAAATCTGTCTGTCATTTTGTTCATTCTTCATGTTTAACTTTGTTCTGCAGGCTTCATATGGCTAACTTAAGCATTTAAGTTATTCATTTGTTAAAGATGTTTGCTATTTTGGAACAGTTTGAAAGTTAATGCATGACTCGAGGATGACTTTTAGCTTATCCCACTTATCTTTCACGCTCTCACTTGATTCATGTGCTGAGTCATGGTTTAACTGTCTAAATTCAAGAACTAAAAATGGCCAACAGGCTAAAAAGTGATTAGATTTTGAGATGCATATTTTGGTTTCTCATTATTTGTTTGTTTTCAATTTGTTCCTTTTATTCTGTCTACAATTTTTAATCTGTGGTTATGCATCAATTTCTCTGCTTCTTCTTTATAAATCTTGCAGGTCAAGACAACACACTTATCGGGGCAATGTTGGGATGTTTAGGCTTGGGTGGAGACATGGACTTTTGGAAGAGGTGAATTAGCTTAGCTCTCTGTCATTAGCTTTATATGTTCTATGCATCTCTACAATCTTACAATGCTCCTTTATTAAATTGCAAGATGTTGGGACCCGTTACTGGAATACAAGATTTGGAACAAAAGTGGTTGACAATGCTAGAGTCGAAAGCAAGTGTGAAATTCACATTGAAAATGACAGGTGAGAATGCTAATCATATTCCAAAAAAATGTTGGGCTTCCTGATGAGATCTCTAGCCGAATTCAAGAGGCTAATTTAGTGATCTGGAGTTAATTTTGTGAATTTATTGAATGAAGTTATTTATTTTTAGCTTATCTTGCGTTTGCTTTGGTTTTAGGAGAGGGTTGCGCATGATCTGTAGGTTCAATCAACCTCGCTGTTTTCGTTAGAATCACAATTAAAGGTCAGTTTTTCCGACATTTTTTTTTCTTTTTGCTGCATGTTTTTGCTGCATGTTTATGTATGGTTGGTCTATGAGAATACTGGTTAGTTGTCATCAAGCAGCCCTTGTAGATGTGTATTTTGTTTATATATTGCTAGTTTAACCATTAGTACGTTTGACTTGGGGATACAAGCTTGGATATTTTATATTTTGTTGTATATAGAGAATCCCGGGTATGTCCAGCATAGGATAACATGTATTTTTTGGTTTAACATTTGGATGGGTTGTATTGTTAGGTTGCATGAATCGGTCTTAGCCGAGAACATGGGTTATGTAATATATTAACTTCACTATTTTAGTGCTAATGTTGATTTATGTTTAGTTTGTAATGGATGATTTGTAAGTTTCTAAATTTAGGTGGAAATTAGGTTCTATGAGCAACCTGATGATTTCCATGTTTAAATAAAAATATCCAATTATGCCACAAATTTTTAATTGTGCTGAAGTTTTATTGTATTTATTAAAATATAATAGTGGCACAATTTTAAAGTTGTGCCCTTGCTTTAACATTTATACAGCAATCTAAGCCTTTAAAATAGCAATTGTGCCCATCTTACACCATACATTCAGTAGCCTTTATTAGAGGTAAGACACAATAAGGGTTGTATTTGTGCTTAGCTTTGGGCACAAAACATCATATTGTGTGCTATAAGTAATGGTGACGCCCATAGAGGGCACAGATACAAACTTAGTTGCTGCACTGTTGCTATTGGTCTATGAGCACAAATGTTGGTGCTTTTTGGCCTCAAAAGGCACATATAATTTTTTGTGTGCAGTGCTCATTTTTTTTGTAGTGAATGAGAAAGATATGAAGCATTCGGGTTTGTGATCATTTTTGATTTTGTGATATCTGCAAAGTAAAAACTAAGGAGAGGTAGAGACGTGGAAGCTATTGATCCTCGACTTCGCATCTATATCGTGAAAGCGACGCCAAACCCCCACGTGATTTAACTCATGATCAAAGGTTTCAATCCCATAGAATTGGCTAATATATTGCAATTCCTGATCGTGTGAGATTGATAGTTGCCGACAATTAAACACCAATTTTAACTTAAATCCTTCCTGCGTGCAATAATAGTGACATTCAACTTTATTGATTTTTGTGGAGAGAAAATATTAAAATATGCAAAGGAAATCAAGAATGTATCACGAGGACGTCATCTGAATTGACTCTGTCTTTTCAGCTAGCTTTGTTGTTTTGAAATTTTTTTGATCCAATAACTCTAGTTGCATTCGTGGGTCTTTATTCAGGATTTTCTCAGCTTGTAGATAAAAGTTCTAGCAGTTGGATCGAAAGCTCTTCACTCTCTAATCCTCAAACAAAGTTGTAGCCGGTAAATGGACGAATTCATCACTCACTCTCTAATAGCTAAAAAAAGTTGTAGGCGTTAAATCTCTTCGCAAATGAAACCATGTCAAATCTAATATTTATTCAACGTAAAATATTATAATAAAAGATGTTATATATATACGGCGGTGAAAATGAAATGAGTGTGGTTGCTAGGAAATTGGACAACTCAAATTAGAAATCACATTTTTTAAACATTTAAATGAGGAAATTTAAGGGATCGAGGGATGTGAAGTTGTGCTCTTATGCAATATATATGTGAACATTTGGCAGGCGCATGCTGTCAAATGATGTAAGTTCTTGAAAGCCTTTTGCATTATACGATTATGGATGCCTACTGCAGGTAGTGTTGGGGACCAGTGACTATAGGTTTTGACATGCATGGAGGTTTTTTGGGCCAATGGCCTTCTCCCACACGTAGGTACTAAAAACTTAATAAAAAGGATTAAATATATTAAAAGTTAGATGCATTTTATGTTATAACACTATTACTTGAATTAGAAGTTAGTTTCAACTACCTGCGAGGAGGATGGGGTAATGAGTTGTGATAAGTTTAAAGTCAATTCCATCTAATTTAGCAAAAGATAATTACAAGCGGAGGCAATGTTATAGCGACGGTGACAATGATGATATTGTGAAATGCGCCGCTAGTTACTGTGATTATGATGGTGGGTGATGGTGGTGGTATCAAGGATATATGGTGGTGACCACTGATGTTTATTTTATTTTATTTTATTTGCTTTTAAACTCCTATACTTATGTATTTACTGTGACAGTCCATCCTGAATTATTTGTACCGTAGGTATGAAATGATGATTTTGCCCTTGGTGGTTATTTGCCATATTGGGGTGTTGTTTAGTTGCTTTTGGTGGTTGACTCTACAGGACACACACTCACACCTATACCACACGCCCGTGACTCTCTCTTTCTCTTCTCTCTCGGACTTCTTTCCATTTTCTTTACAACTCGTACGGACGAACTTCCATCCAACCATTTCTGGCACGAATCGTGACCATTGTTGGTGTTTTTGGACTCCCTTCGAGCTTAGGAGTCAATTGGTGGTGTTGGTTGGACGTGAAACCCTAGAAAACCCGAGAACCTGGGAACCCATATTTTGTGCACTGTTCATGCACACGTGATCGTGGGGTTTTTAGAAGTTTCTAAGGTTATAGGAAGCTTTAGAATACTCTCATGAAGCTCGAGAAGCATTTTGGAAGAAATTGGACAGTCGAGAAGGCCAGGAGTGGCGAGTTGCAGGTTTGGCTGGAATATCGAGGTTTCTCCGGCATGATTCCGTGAATTTCAGGGCTTGAAAGTGGTAAGGTTTTGTTCTACTCGTTGTAAGCTTCATTTTGGTACAAATTTCATGGATTTTGGTTGAGAAATGAAGAAGATATGAAGTTTTGAAGTTTTTCCAATTTCCTGTGAGAATTCGAGTTGCAAACAGCGGCGGACGACGGCGACCGGCAAGACTCACCAAAGAAGAAAAGGAATATTCCGTCAGCTTTGACGGAATATACTAACGGCATCAGGTATATATAACGATATATTCCATTTTTGGATGGAATATTCCCTAACGTATTTAGGGTTTCCACACGTGTGCCAGGCACATGCCCATGCGTGGCCAGCATGTCTGGCCGTGCCTTGGCTGGCGCATGTGAGGTTGGAAAATTATTTTTAAAATATGACGTTGGTGTATTCAAACACCCCATTTGAGTATTGTATGAGAAGTTATTACCTAGCTTTGGTTATGTGTTTAATTTGACGTTTTTATAGTTGTTTTGCATATAGGTGAGACCTATCCTGAGGACGAGCGTAGTCACTCAAGGCTCAAGGGTTACGACCCTTCCACATATCAGTGAGTGGGCTTTTGGTTTTCTGTATATACCTATATACTTGTGAATTTCCCAGAAAATGAAATTGAATGTTTATATGTTTTAAAATGTCATGCATAGTGGTTGCCTATTTATTTATGCATTAGTAGTTGCATATATGTATGTTTGGTGCAACGGACGCACAGGTAAGTGCTAGGTCAGTTATAGTTTATGGTTGTGATGTAGTAGTTATGCGAGATATATTGAGAGCTCATAACCTGCACCCCGATGTTAGTGCTCCCGTCCAGAGTTAGGGCACAGTCCTTCACATGATGTTCACCTTCCGCACCATACGCTTACCTTGGATCCAAGTTAGGTACACAATCATGTTGTACAGACCATTATAGGTGGTTCCGACTCGTAGGTGACCCGCGATTATTCGCACAGTCATCACGTGATCGTAGCACTTGAGCGTATTTATTTACACCCAGTCATGTCGTACAGACCACTTTAGATGGTTCCGACTCGTGTGCAGGTAAAGTTATTGCGATGTGAATTTGAGCTCTAGATTTAGCCGTACAGGTCACGTTAGGTGACTCCGGCTGACATATTATTTGCATTGATTGACATTACCTGGGTTACTTACATCTTATGTGGAGATAATCGACATGGCATATTTATGAATGTTGTCATTATGAACATGATTTCAATATATGTATATGTTCTATTTTTCTGGGAATATTATAGGTTTTACGGCAAAGGGTTAGAACTTTTGATAATGAAATGAAGCTTTGTTTTTGCCCACTCACACTTTCTGTTTTGCGCCCCTCCAGGTTCTAGTTTGGAGTGCTCTTTTGGTGACTTACGAGGAATTCACCGCATCCTTGACAGATTATCACCAATGTAGGATCACCTTTGGGTGTTGTATAGTTAGTGTTTGTTTCTGTGGACTGCACTTAGGTTATTTTGCTCTGATTATGTTTATCACACTTAATCTTACATTGGTTTTTAACTAGCTTATCTAGTAGTGCGGTTTTTATTTATTCATAATTTTATTATTACTATTGCTTCCGCACTGTGCACATGGCTACCTCACCCTCATGTGACGGCCAGCACGCCTTGATTTCGGTCGGGGTGTGTCATTAACGCTCAAAATTTGTAGGGTAACAAACTAGAATAATTAGTCCTTGGTGGGCTTGGAATTGAAACTCAGATGAAATGGACTCAAGATTTGAGTGGATCACCCCTTAAAACTGGGCTACATCCATTGTGTTGCTCTTATTATATTGATTTCCAATGCTACATATGTCAGATAGTGCTCAGCGAAAGACTACAATTATTCCATCTCTCTTCATTAATTCAACCCCATTACAACCAGTTCCCAACTCTTTATATAGGCCGTCAATGAACCCAGAAAGCCTTCAACTACCTAATCTTATTTTGCTAGCATTTAATGCACCACTCACATCGGCTAGCGTGCTGACAACCTTTCTAACCATCAGTAGATATTTGGCAATGAAGTGACCTTTGCTCAATCGGGATTGCATGTCCTTCTAGATCGATATGTGTCGGGCAACCTACTATGTCTTGACTAGTCAACGATGTAACTTCAAACAGTGGCACGACCACCTTTACATCCCGTCCTAGACTTCTGCTTTGATTGGTGATTGACACATGGCCTGATTGGTGCTTAAGCAGGTATGCTCCTAAAGTCTTATGTTATATAGTTGTCAATCTTCCCACGTGTCCTTGGCAATTGGAAGTATTTTACGTTACTTAGTCGGACCAGGCTGGTGAGCGGTCATCTCTAGCACTTGGACGTGCCCCCTTATTAATTCTACAAGGCATTGGACTTCTTACTCTTCTTTCAGCTTTAACCTTTATTGGTCCTCTCGTGATCTTTTTCTTGATTTGCACTATTTCTTGAAGTTTAGACTAGAGAACTACAAAATATTTAAATTTGGAAAATGGAGGTCCCAAATTCCAACTTTTTTCACACGAAAATTCTATATTTATATATTTATGAATCCAAAGAATGAAATTGATGCATGTTAATTTACAGATTCAGACTTTTGTCTAAATTTTAAGTTTATCTTCCTCATCCAAACATAGTGTTAGTGATATGTCACTTAGTAATACAGTTTAGAAGTATTTTTCTTTACTTGCATATGTGAAAGATCTTATGTTTCGAATATTGTGAATAATAAGTTCAAAACCAATTTACTTCTCCACCCCATAATGTAAACATATATTTATATCAAAAAGTTGAAAAATATACCAAATTCAATTCCTCTCTTTCCTTGCATTATTAACTGGCAAAAATCATCAGTTTCCCTTCATATAATAATATGTTTACTCGAACGTCAGTAGCAAATAGCAAGCATACTAAAGGAGATGCATGAATGAATGGCATAAAGAGCAACAGATACGTTGACTGTGATTAATTAAGAATTATGAAATTAAAGAGATTAATCATACATAATTTAATAATTGGAGTGTGAGTTGTGGACTAACGCAGTCCGTAAGTTGAGATCAAGTATTCAATTCCAGTCTCCGTATAAATTAACGTTAAAATTAAAAAATTGAGACGAATGAAATGGTGCCACGTAACAGTGGGGCATGTGGGTTTTGGGATGTGAAATGCAAGTACATGCAGCAAGATGCTTATGATTGATTAATATGAAAGGGAAATCTTCCTTGCATAGTTGCACTTATTCCTCGTTAATCCCGAGAAGCAACGTACACTGTGTGTAGTCCATATATGCACTTGCATGCCGACAACTAATTTGTTGACATTCTATGATCAATCAAGATATTCTTTAATAAATATTTTTACTTTAATTTTCACTTTTTATTACAATTTGTCTGTCAAGTACAAGGAATATTATACACTAATTTAACAGGGGGATGGAGAATATTATGAACCTAAATCGTAGTATTTTGAAAAAGAATGACCTTAATAGGCATTTCACTACTTGCAACTTTATCTTACATTTAAGTATGCATGTAATTAAGATTCATATGTAATATTTAGATTATTTATATTCATACTCACAGGAAAGAAATACAAATGAAAAAAAAGTTCATGACTATTTAGTTTAGGGTCACCCTATTTATACAATGTTGAAGGAGGCCTTTAACTGTGAGTTTGATATACAAATATAAAAATCAGACAATTTGAATTTAATTTTTGCGGCTCAATTTCTATAATTGTGTGAATTTGATAAAAACGAGTTCCATCTACCAATTATGGAGATATATTTATTTTGGAAAATTACTTGGCTATTTAAAGATGAGTAGGAACTCTTACTCAAAACTTTTAGTATTTGAATCACAGAGTTTTGTGCATATAATCAAAATCATTCATATTATCAATCGCACTGTAAAGATCATTTTTGCAAAAAAATAAATTAAAACTAAGATTGTTTAGTTAATGTATTCTAGCAAATACATAGACGGTTCATAATGCTTTTACCAATTCCGTTCATTTGTTTTTATACAGTTCAATGACTAAACAACTTTAGTTTTAATTGATTTTTTGCAGAGATGATATTTATAGGATGACTTATAATATGAACAGTTCCGATTATAAACATAAAGTTCTATAAATTGGTAATTAACAATTTTGAGTAGGAGTTCCTACTCATCCTTTGAGTATCCAAGTATTGTTCTTTATTTTGTACTCTACTATATTGTGCTCTCTCTCTCTCTGGGAGTTATAATTCGTAATATTGTAATTTTTTTTTAAAAGGGACAACCATAATATTGTAATTAAACTCATTAGTTTCAACATATTATATTCAATAATTAGAATCATTTTCATATAACTCAAATTTTTCTGCCTATTATAAGGTCTTCTGTAATATGCCGAAAAAAATTAGTGTGATACCAATATATTGGACTCATATAAGAATTATACTCATACAATGGGCTGGAAATTTGGGTGTTATACCAATATATTGAACTCATGAGTGTGATATCAAAATTGAATTCAAACTATTAATAGTGTTATAAATATCAAACTCAAACCCCATGATTCCTATATATAGGGATTACACTCACTCAAACTACCATGGAAGGTCTAAGAGTTTAATTCTTATAAAATTGGAATCAAACTCAACCGGCTCACTGTGAAAAGCCTTAGTCCAAGTTTCATACATAATAGTCATCATAATAATAAAAAACCTATGAAAAAATGAAAAAAAATTAGAAGAGAACTCTTAGTAAAAATGTGGAAGTACTGATCTATCGCTATAGCGTAATAACCATAATCATATGGCCTCCATTGAATTCAATTACTGTGTTATGTCATGGTCCATATGATACTAACAAAAATACACTGCCAAATTTGGTATACTTGTAACTTTGTTCCTTTCATTAAAGCTATTATTGATGACCCTCATCCTTTCGAATTAATTAACTTATCGTCAGGGAATGTCCACAAAAAGCTAATTAGGTTGTCATGAAATTGACCTATCAAGCTAAAATTTCTTCGCTAGCTGTTAAATTACTCAGCCAGTGATCAGCCCAATTTCTTCCACTGCCTTTAATTCCTTTGTTTATATGGAGATTGGAGACTTACAAGTTACAAACTAAATAAATTAGCTAGAGTACAAGATTAGGTATTCTTGTAATGTTGCTCCTCATTAATTAATCATGCTTCTAATAACCTTCACCCTCTTAAGTTCTACTTAAGCATTTATTCCTCAAACTCATTGCCCTAGTTGCAAGTTCTCTGATCCCTAGGGACCATATAATATATATAGACACGGCCCGGCCATATTGGTCATTTGGAAACACAGAAAATGTGACAACTAATAAGAAGCTTTGACTTTGTTTTTAAAAAAAATAAAAAAACTTTGACTTGTCAACCTCAATCACTGTCATATGAACTCCCCAACGAAGAAATGCCACATGAGTTCGAGAAGGGCCACGACTAATCCGCCTAGTGAAGAGCATGCCGTAACATGCATGTAAACATGAAATAATTAACTCACTTCACATTAGCAAAATCATGATAAATTTTTGTTTTATTCTACGTGTTATAATGTGTTGGTAATATAATTAATATATCTCACTTTTAAGTTATCAAAACAAGATAAATAAAGTGTAATACTTTAAATAGAATAGGGTCGTGTAACCCTAAAGGGTTGATCTGGCAGAAAGTGAGCAAAAAATTGAAACCTCCACCCCAAGTTCAAACTCACACAGGTATATTTTTTGGTGTCACAAGCTCTGCTTTGATGTATTATTTGACCTGGAGAATCAAAAGTATGCTATCATCTTATGTAGTATTAGAACTGTATGCGAAGAGAAATTAATTTATTATATGGTAAAATACCTTCTATGTCAAAAATAAAAACCATATAATTATATGAAAGTGTTCCGAATACACCTAAAAATCTCTCCAAAATCATAATCACAATCACAATCACAATCTCAGTCTCACACCCTTCCTTGGTCGTGACGCTTCCCCAACCGCCCACGTTCATCTCCAACCCCACCTTACAAATTAGTAAGAGATTCACATACAAATTTCACTCCCACACACACGCACACACATGCCTTTGCACTAACTCCAACACATACCCTCCAAATTCCAAAGCCTCTTATATTTATATACCCCCAAACTCTATTTTCTCACAACCCCACTTCCAAATTTTAATCACAATTGATTTTGCAAAATGTTCACAGATCCTACTGTTAAACAAATGCTACAGTGCCCTCCATCTGGGCAAGGGCAATTCATGATGATGGAGATGAAGAGACCATGGAACAAATCCCATATTGAGGTTGCCCCAAACTGCCCTCGATGTGCCTCTTCCAACACCAAATTTTGCTATTACAACAACTACAGCCTCTCACAGCCAAGGTACTTTTGCAAAGGGTGCAGGAGATATTGGACAAAAGGAGGCTCCTTACGCAACGTCCCAGTTGGTGGCGGCTGCCGCAAGAACCGCCGTGGTAAAGCGGCCAGACTCTCACAGACTGACCGCGCTTCATTAAGTTACTTTCAGCATCACAACTCATCAAGTGGTACTGAAGATGATCCGTCCGGAAATAATCAGCCAGGTGGAACTAATGCATCAGATATTGATTTGGCTGTTGTGTTTGCCAAATTCTTAAACCACAACTCCACTACCCCTGATGATCATTATCATGACCCCAATTTGGTAATTTCAAGCTCAGCATTGAACGATCACGATGGCTCACAAAATTCTTCCAAGGCTGATGATCTTGTTGAAGCAGTTGATCATTATTTACTTGAAGGACATCAACAATCACAGGAAGAAAATGTTCAAACGTTGTTGGGAATTAATCACAATGATGATATGAACATTCATGAATTTGAGTTACAGGGTTTACTAGGAGACGAAGACCAAGTGGTGCAAGATGTGTTTTGGTCCGATGATGCAACGACGTCGTCTTTGCCAAGCAGTACTGCTAGTTTTACATGGCAACCGATGGTGCATTTGCAAGAGTTGGACTGTTCACTACCATCAGACGATGATCAAATGAAGATATCGACCAATTTATGTGGCGATAATTGGAGCTCCATTGATTTTTCAGGGTTTGAAGTTTTCTCACGATCTTAAATATTGGATGCAAATTTACAAGCATTTGATTAGTTATTTGTTGTGTTAAGTTCATTTCATTTGCAATTTTTGTTCCAATATATATAGTTGGAAAGTTTAGTACTGTTACATTGCCATGGAAAATAAATATCATGGCATATACATAAATACTATGATATAATACAATAAACCTTTTTTCATAATATGTGGTCAAGCGAGTAGTCAATTGATATTAGCATTAATTTCTGTTGAGCTTATATATATATAGACACACACACACATTCAAAGAGGCTTCTAAGGTTAGTTTTATTATCATACGTCCTTAAAATGTCATCCCTTAATCTCCTGAACCTTATATTATATTAAACAGCTTTGGACCATCCTTAAGAAACAAGTTAGCTGCGACCTTGCACAAACTACTATTGGTTATGTGAGGATGGTATATATTATACTAGATTACCCATTCAAATTTGCTACTTAATCAATTATACTTATAAGTGAGAGGTATTAAGTGTGAATCTCGTGGATGATGATTTCGTTACCAAATTAGATTGCCCATTGTATGGCCTCCCTCCCCTTAGTGTAAAATATATTGTTGTACTCCAAAAAAATAAAAAAATCAATTATACTTTAATGTATTGAAAACAATATTGTTAAACAATTCTAAATAATGTAAAGATTGAAGCAGCAGCTTCAATGGAGATGATCGAAGAAACCAAATTGTAGAGAGAGAGAGAGAGAGAGAGAGAGAGAGAGAGAGAAAGATTGAGAGTTGAGATAAGTTTTCTTTGTATTTCTTGAAAGTGAAGTTATCTTCTTTCACCTTAGCTATATGTATTTATCTAATTACATGGCTTGTAACACAAGCTAAGATATGGATAATATTCTAACAATCTAACAACCATAGCACCAGATTCTAATAACCTTGTAACTTCCTTGGATCTTGTGACACTTGTCATCATCTAGACCCTTGAATTCCTTTAACTTGGATTCTCATCTTTGTGCTTGTTGTCTTTACTTAAATCCTCATCTTTGTGTTTGTCTACATTTTTACATCCCCCCCTCAATCTTATGCTCGAGTGAACTGAGCATGAGATTGCCACAGTGTTGTTGAAACAAGTGTGCAGATAAACCCTTTGTGAGTATATCAGCAACTTTTTTAGCAGAGGAAACATGATGCACTTGAAGATCTCCTCTTATGACCCTTTTATGAACAAAGTGATAGTCGATCTCGATGTGTTTGGACTTGGAATGAAACACAGGACTGGTAGATAGAGTTATAGCTGAGATGTTATCACAGTGAATCATTGGTGCTTGATAAAGAGGAATGTGTAAATCACAAAATAACTATATTATCCAAGCTATTTCGACAACTATGATAGAAAGAGCTTGATACTCAGCTTTTGTAGATGACTTCGACACAGTGTGCTGCTTCTTTGATGCCCAAGAAATAGGATTGGATCCTAGAAAAACTACAAACCATGAGGTGGATCTTCTATCATTTGGATCCCTGACCCAGTTTGCATCACTATAGGATTGAAGATGTATTGGTCCTGGTTTAAAATGAATCCCATAATTTGATGTGCCCTTGAGATATCTGATACTTCTTTGTACCTGCAATTACATGTGACTCCATAGGATTATGCATGAATTGACATGCTTAATTCACATAGAAGGCTATGTTAGGCCGTGCAAATGTGAAATATTGAAGTGCTCCTGTAGACATCGAAATTTCGGTGAAACAAATGTTCACCAACGTATTAAAGTTTTGACATGTCAGGGTATACATGGCATACGCCACGTGTCGTACAAATTGTACATATGGCATGTGACTCAACAAAATAGGAAGAAATACGCTTGGATGATTAAACAAGTTTTTCTTCTCAATTTGGGCAATGACAAGGTAAGCACATTTCAATCCATTACGGATCAAAGCAAGTTTTTCTCATTTGGGCAATGACAAAGCAAGCACATTTCAAGTTTAAAATTGTATTAAGTGGGAAATTAGGCCATAAATAAGACCACTTCAATTTCAATATTGCATTAAGTGGAAAGTTAGGCCATTTGTTAGACCACTTCAATTTCAATATTGTATTAAGTGGGAAATTAGGCCATAAAGAAGACCACTTCAATTTCAATATTGCATTAAGTGGGAAAATTAGGTAATAGTGCTTGGGTGGGAAAATTTTGTGGTGGTGATTCACTCTCAAAGCCTATAAATAGGCTTCTCCATCAAGAGAAAAAAACACCAATTCACAAATACATTTCTCTACACACACCAACACCAATTCACAAATACATTTCTCTACTCCCAAAATGGAAGAGAATACTCCCCACACATCCAAAATCCTTGAAGCTTTGAAACTCTAAAGCTCTCAAGCATCCAACCCCCAAATTCCCAAGAATCCCGAAGAATGGAGAAAGCACTCTTCATTCTTCGTCAAATCCTCCTTCAAGATCAAGCCCCGATGGCCCTTGAAGAACTTCCACCAACTCAAGATCAAGCCCCGACGGCCCTTGAAGAAAGTGTTCATCATTCATCATCCGTTCATCCTAAGATCAAGCCCCAACGGCCCTTTGGATCAACAACCTCAACAAACCGACACACCAAAACCTTGAAGCCTTAAAGTTCTAAAGCTCTCAAGAAAATCCCGAAGGATCAAGAAAGCACTCTTCGTTCTTCGTCAAATCCTCCTTCAAGATCAAGCCCCAACGGCCCTTGAAGAACTTCCACCAACTCAAGATCAAGCCCCGACGGCCCTTGAAGAAAGTGTTCATTGTTCATCATCCGTTCATCCTAAGATCAAGCCCCAACGGCCCTTTGGATCAACAACATCAACAAATCCACACATCCAATCGTTCTTCAAGATTAAGCCCAAAAGCCCTTGAAGATTCGCTCATCCATCAACCTTCAAGATCAAGCCCAAAAGCCCTTGAAGAAATCCACACAACCATTATTCAAGATCAAGCCCCGACGGCCCTTGAAGAAAGTGTTCATCGTTCATCATCCGTTCATCCTAAGATCAAGCCCTAACGGCCCTTTGAATCAACAACCTCAACAAACCCATACACCCATTCTTCAAGATCAAGCCCAACGCCCCTTGAAGATCCATTCATCAACTGTTCATCCTTAGATCAAGCCCCGACGACCCCTTGGATCAACAAACAAATCCACACATCTATTTTTCAAGATCAAGCCCAAAAGCCCTTGAAGAAAACCAACTGTTCATTCAAGATCAAGTCTCGACGGCCCTTGAAGAAAACCAACCGTTCTTCAAGATCAAGCCCAAAAGGCCTTGAAGATCCGTTCATCCATCAACATTCAAGATCAAGCCCTGAAGGCCCTTGAAGAAACTTCCATCAACCTTCAAGATCAAAGCCACGAAGGCCCTTGAAGAAACTTACAACTGTTCATCCAAGATCAAGCCTCGACGGCCCTTGGATCAACAAATCTACATCTTACGGAGATCGAATCAGAGGACCAAATTACAAAGAGATCGTAACCCTAAAATCATTAAACACAAAAATATTATTTTGTACACGTATTCTTGTCTCTGTGTTTTCAGGAATTTTCCGTGTTCACATCTCCAACTACGCATCTATATTGATCAGGACTATGATATGGTTTTCCATTATTTTTTAAGAGTTTGTGATATGGTAAGCACAGGGTAGCAAATGGTTTACAATCTTGCAAATCCACTCTATCAACTAACTCACCGATATATTTGGACTGTGAAATAAATAAGCCTTTTTCTGTGTGACTAATTTGCCACCCCAAAAAAATAATGCAAATTGCCTAAATCCTTCATCTCAAACTTTGTAGTAAGTTATTTGATCACCTAAGATATCAACTGAGATGAGCTACCAGTTAAAATTACATCATCAACATAAAGCATCAACGTTACAATGCCTTGTTGAGAGTGTTGAACAAATAAAGATGGATCAACATGTGAAGACTTGAATCCCAATGCTGCTAAAAAACTGGTAAACCTGTCATTCCATGTTCTTGAAGCCTATTTAAGCCCATAAAGTGATTTTTTAAGCTTGCAGACATAATTAGATGGATGTTGTGAGCTTTGAAAGCTTGGAGATTGCTCCATATACATTTCTTCTTGTAAAATGCCATGTAAGAAGACATTTTTCACATCTAATTGCCTAAGTTGCCACTTGAACTGTGATGCTAAAGCAAGAATAAGTCTAATGGTTGTAGGCTTAACCACAAGACTAAATGTTTCTCCATAGTCTACACCTTCATCTGGACTATAGCCCTTTGCTACAAGCCTTGCTTTATACCTTGCCATAGTGCCATTTGTTTTTTATTATGTACACCCATTTACACCTAACCAACTTTTTATCACTTGGAAGTGGAAACAAAAGACCATGTATATTAAGAATGTAGTGCATTTATCTCTTCCTGCATTGCATTTTGCAATTTTGATACTTTGGAAATAGCCTTAAATGTTTTTGGCTTTGAGACAAGTGATTGAGAACCAATACTGGCTGAGAAAGCTTTCCTCTTGGTAATACCATTCTTGGATCTTGTTAACATAGGATGCACATTCCTTAGTATTGGAAGAACAACATGAAGTTGTTCATGTTAGAAATCATGATCCACAAGGATTGGATGCTGTGTAGGCGTGTTTCCTGATATTTCAAGACTAGGAGATTGTTTTGAACTATGACTTGGTGATGAATGAATAAAAATTTGGGGTAATAGATACATGTGTTTCCAGACATCTGAGGCACTAGATGTAGGCAAATAATCTAAAACTAGATGCAGCCAATGAATCTCAGGCACTAGATGCATTTGTAGTTATTAATCTGTGATATTTGATGACAATGCATGAGTATGAAGTGGTGATATAACTTGTTCTATAGGTGCAAATGGTTGATGATTGACATGCATTGCAGAGAGATTTGGGGGTGGTGACTTTCCTTGATAAGCAAAATTGATAGTATTGAATAGTTGAATGACCAAATTTCTAGCAAATTTGGCATTGAATTGGAGAATTAGAACTTGTGACTGGTGTACTATGTCTCTGGAAGCAATCAACTGCAACATGTCTTCTTTGGTTACAGATTTGGCATGTTGGTATCTCAGATGGATGATTTGGGCAATGAGCTTGAAATGGCCTTAAAGCACCAAGAATTCCAAGACTTGCATTTGGTGGAAGATATGATCTGCCTCTTACTTTTCCTTTGAAG